AATGAAATATTCTGAGTGGATTGAGTCTCCAAAACACATTTTATGAGAAAATTTCCTTGAAATAGGACTTTACCATGAATATTAGTTGACAGAATAAGCCATACTTAGAGTTTTGGGGAGCTTTTTCTCCTTTTTTCTTATATTCTGCTATACTAGAAATTTTTTCCTAAGAAATACTTTAATAAATATATAGTTTTAAGTAAATGAAATTATTTTTAAAGCAGTAACAACAAATTATTCACCAAAAGAGAAGCTTTTTATGTCCCTCTCTGGAACGCGGCGTAAATTTAAGTTTTACGTAAGGACTTATTGAAACCTCCTTGGAGACAGTAAACTTTTATACAGATAGTTCATTCAGCTTGAATACTTCAATTAATCATTTATTATAACATTTCTATCATAAATGAGTGAAAGTTACCCCAAAATTTTTATTTATTGGCCTATAAAGTAGAAATTTTGAGGAAATGAGAGGTATAAATGGACCAAAAGAGACCTTATAAGGAAGACAAAGAGGTCCATTGGTAGTATTTATCATCCTAAAGTCATCTTTTGTATCATATTCAACTGTTTGTAGGCAGATGAGATAAATATTTGATCATTTATTGGTCCACACTATATTCTATCATGATGCGGCTTGGTTTGGATTTTTCGAAGAAATTTTGCTCGAATCGCTGCAGATGTCGTCTTACATTATACTAGATTTTTCTCAAACTAATGAACTGATTATGACAAAACTTGACAGGAATGCTTGAAATAACCAGTATAACAAAGGAAAAAAGTCACATTCAGTTTATTTAACAAAAAAGTCTTCTTTAGGTGTAATACCACCAAATCATAAATAGCCTTCCTACATCTGCCTCTAAAACAAAGTCAACTAGTTTATCTTTTACATCTCGTAAACATTCTTCTAAAGCCCCGTCTCCTCTCCATTCTCCAGAACAGCAGATCGTCACCAAAACGCCAGCAAATTCCTCCCCTCAGAAGTCTTCTGATAGGAGGTCACGGAGTAGGGGTCGAGGCAGAGTAACACCAACTTCGTCTAGTCAAGGAGATCGACGAATCTCCTCACACAATAGATTTGCCACACTTACTGATGAATCAGAAATGGAATGCGAAAGTGTTGTGCCACCTGAAAGATCACAATCTCAGTGTGATCGAAATAAGAACGCTGGCAAACTCGATAGCATTCGTCCTTATATTCATAAATTATGACAAGTATCATTCAATGGAATTGCCGAGGTCTTAAAATAAATCTTCTCGAGTTAACACTTCTAGTTCAGTCTTTTTTACCTATTGCATTTTGCCTTCAAGAAACTCATCTAAAAGAAAGTGACAATGTATCTTTAAAAGGATACAACATCTATAGCACATTTTCTAAGGAAGACGAACGTTCTGCAGGCGGATCAACCATTTAAGTGAAGGAGAACGTCATTCATAGCACAGTCCAACTCACCACGGATCTGCAGGCAGTTGCAATTCGTTAATCATTAGATAAAACAATTACATTATGTTATATATATATTCCACCTAATTCAAATATAGATAAAGCTAAACTCAAAAACCTCACTGACCAATTACCTTCACCTTTTAAACTTATGGGAGACATTAAAGCCCACAATCCCTTGTGGGGAAGCAAGTATCATAATGCCACAGGTAAGATTATTGAAGACTTTGTCTCTCAAGAAGGATTATGCATTTTTAATGATGGATCTAATACTTATCTTCACCCTGGAAACGGGTCTTATTCTGCTATTGACATCACTATTTGCGATCCGTCTCTTCTTCTGGATTATTCATGGCGTGTCCATGATGATCTTTGTGGAAGTGATCACTTTCCAATAATACTTGAACATCTTTTTACTTCTGTTCAACAGAGAGTTCCACGTTTGAAACTGAACAAGGCGGACTGGCCCTTGTTTGAGAATCTCTGTCAAGCGGAGCTTCAGTCAAAGATGTTTGAGACTGTTCAAGATCCCATTTTAACGTTTAACACAGTTTTAACGTCAATTGCTGACAGAACAATTCCTAAGACCTCGGCAAATCCGAAACATCCCAGCAAACCATGGTTTGATGAGGCTTGTGATCAAGCCATAGATGAGCGTAAAAAATCTGAAAGACGGTTCAATCAACATCCTTCGACTGAAAACTTAAGTAATTTCCGTATTTTTCGCGCTAAGGCACGGCGCACTTGCAGGCAAGCACGACGTACGTCTTGGAAAAAATTTGTCTCGGAGATAACATCTCGCACTCCGATGACAAAAGTATGGAACATGATACAAAAGATAAAAGGTAAAAATTCTAAAGCCACGATAAAACATTTGAAAGATGGCAATAATTTATTAACACCTGAAAAAGATATTGTCAACAAGCTTGGTAAAATTTTTGCGAAATCTTCTTCTAACAACTACAGGGAAGATTTTAAAAAAGTTAAAAAACAAAAAGAAAAAATGAAGTTGAACTTTCAATCGAAAAATGGTGAAAATTATAATCAACTCTTTTCTCTGGAAGAACTCAAATATCTCAAAAACCCATGATACAGCTTGTGGGCCTGATAATATTCACTATCAACTCTTGAAACACTTGCCAGATTCCTCGCTGGAAGCTCTTTTGCAGCTCATGAATAACATCTGGGAATCTGGTGATTTACCATCAATTTGGAAGCTTGCAACCGCCGTGCCTATTCCAAAACCAAGTAAAGATCACACGGATCCTATTTATTATCGACCAATTGCTCTTACCAGTTGTGTCTGTAAAACACTCGAACGGATGGTCAATGATCGCCTTGTTTGGTTCTTGGAATCAAATGGGCTATTAGTCAATATCCAGTGTGGATTCCGACAGGGCCGCAGTACTCTTGATCATCTTGTCCGATTCGAATCATTTGTCCGTAATGGTTTTGCGAAAAATGAACATGTGGTGTCGGTCGTTTTCGATCTTGAAAAAGCCTATGACACTACGTGGAAGTATGGTATTTTAAAACATCTTTTTGATATGGGGTTGAAAGGCAATATGCCAAATTTTATTTCTAATTTTCTCTCTAACAGACAATTTAATGTTAGAGTTAATTCAACCATGTCTGATCTGTATGATCAAGAGACGGGTGTCCCTCAGGGCAGTATTTTATCTGTGACATTATTTAGTCTTAAAATTAACAGCCTTGTTAATCTATCTAAAGTAGTCTATAAGAGTAAGAAATAAGTCATTGTATTAATATTTTTGTTTCAATATGAATAGAATATGCAAACTCTATTCCATCCGACTAATATATACCTGGAATATAATTTTTCTATTTCACATTTGTTTCCAAAATGTTGATTTCATTAATGTGTGACGGGATTGCTTCCCTTAGAAAATGTGGTAAATACTAAGTCAGCCGTAAGCGGTTGGGTAAACGCGCTGCCTTGTAATAAAGTGGTCCCGGGTTCGAGTCCCGGTGGAGACAAGCAATTTTGTTAAATTGGCGCCCAACTGAAAAAGCCACGAATGTCAAATTGAATCTAGATTATCTTGTACAGACTTTTTAGATTTTTTGTTGAATCAATTAATGCATTACCATGTAATATAAACCAACATCCTAAGAGCGTAATTTAACCTATACAGAGAAATCAAAGAATGATGTAAACAATTTTGTAAGCCACTTTTTAATGTCCACTATGAAGTTGGCTTTTAATTGTTATGTATGATGTCAATTTTCCACCAGAGTTGTGTCGAGAAACTACTGTCCATACATTCATCAGAAGTCAAATTGTCCCAAGTGTAAATTGGTGCACATCGATCTTGCAAACAAGTTATTTGCGCCTTATCCTCATGACTGATGCAGAATTTCTTCTTCTTGCAGCTCTTCCTCTTCGGTCTCTTTGATTATGTGCTGAATGCCTTACATTTATCATGGAATAACCTGCTTAAATCTTCTCCAAGCACATTGGAACGGCGTGGATTGTTCTGAAATTCATAAAATCTTCAAGTTATAGTTGATGAAATGGTGTGCTGAAGATAGTCTGAGAAAAAGAAATATAACTATATGCAGCAACTTTCATCATTCATTTACTGATTCACTGTTCAAGAACAAATTAAAGGAATAAACGTTTGCTTGTTTCTTCTGTCTACCGGATACAGTATCAACCGGTTGGTGGATCTCTACAATTCCGAATAGCCAAACTTTACATCCGGTGTCCTTTCCCTTGTGGTATTTTCACTTTCTACCGAAAGGATACATTTGACGCATTCAGTGATTCAGTTTACACTGATTTGTAGTCCGTCCCAATGGCATAGCTGCTAATTGTCAAGTTGTTGCATCAATGTTTCTATGCCCAATGTTTAAGCGCCACTCCTCAACGAATAGTAGAGACGGTGTTGTAAAACGATATTCATTTACATCAGCATATGTGTCCAAATCTTACTGACTTCAAACACTCCAAACATTAAGGCAATCAAAAAATCTGTTAAAATTTCTAATGAAGCATACAATTTCTGAAACACTTTCGTTAATAAATTGTTGATGACATATTCGCAACAGTTCCCCTTAATATCTGAGCAGAAAGAATCACTTCCGTATTACTGAGAGCTCTAAGATCAATATGATAATTTTGGAGATGAACTAAAGATCTCCTGGTCACAATAATCTTCGATCAAACAGCATAAAAGTCTTTGACCCTTTTCTTAAACTGACGTGTTTTGTTGTGCGATAAGTAATTTATATTCGCACAACAAAACACGTCAGCTATGGTATAAACTTTTAATAAACAATTTATGGCTGTCTTTAACAAATGTGGAACTTCGTGGGAGTTCGTATTGAAATACAGGAGTCTAATTTGTGCAACTGCAAACATTATCAGTTTACAGAAGCTTGAATAATGAATAATCACATCCCTAAGCTCAATCTGGGAATATTGTTTTCTTGTGCATTGCAGTATAAGGTTAAAATATACAGCCTGAAGATAAGTCGAAAGTACAAAATTTCCATGTTTGGTTCAGTGTGGTTCTTCACAAAATACGCAGTGATGTTAAGGCAATTTCGATTAGATTTGGTCAGGGGGAGGTAACTCCGCAAAGACCTCATTTAATATTCATATATTCATTAATGGCGATGAGCCCGAAAGCTGCGTCTATCGATAAAAATGTATGATAACAAATCACATACATGCATTTGAATTAAAAACGGGTATCAATATGATTTAATTTATTTACTGAAACGCGAATATTGTATGTTTGTGCCTTAATTATATTGTAAACGGTTACAATAGCTGTTTTTCTTGCGGAGATTGTCCGCTTGCGAGACTCGCCTCCTTTTGAGGATCAACCAATCAGAAGACGATCGCCGTCGTAAAGATGTTTGTGGTTTGCAGAATGGAAAGCACCTTGCTGCGGAAAATATTTTCACTTCTACGTGAAAATCTAACATGAAAAGTAAGTTTAAGACACGAAATATGTAAAATTTATGAAACATACATTGTTTCTTTTGTTGATCATTCCTTTCAGATGGCGAAAAATGGCACAGTATAAGAAAAAAAACGAGTTCAGTGTTAGCAAGTATGATATACACGTGGTCAAAACGAAAATAGACTGCAAAAAATATATGAAATTAGAATAATTTATAGAATCTAGTCAGTAAATGAACAGAATATCGGATGAAATAAGTTTTCTGCATCTTGTCAAAATCCCATTCTCAACACTCGCCCTGTAATTCGTTCCTAATTTACGTTTTGTAGGCAACCTGTCTGGTAAATTTAAACACTGTTTCCACAGTTGCTTCGGAGCGGAGCGTCTTTTTACCACAGAACACCACAGAATACCACAGAACACCACAGAATACCACAGAACACCCAAAATATACCACAGAACTACACAAAATACAATAAAACTACTAAAATATACCACAGAACATTGAATTACTTTACAAAATGCAAAACTAATAATTCAGAATTATATTATTTTTATAATTCGGGCTACACTAATGACAGGACGATTGACCGGATGAGATATACATTTCTTTAATGATCATAACTTTTTTTGTTATTAGGTAGAGATACTAAACTATATTTCATAAAAATCTTTTAAAAACAATGTATTGTAAAAAAAAAGTTTTTCTATAAAAAAAAATGATTTTCTATAAATAAATGTTTTTCTATAAAAAAATGCTTTTTTCTAAAAAAAAAAGTTGACATGATGAATTTTCCTGGCGCCAGTTACACTTTTAAGATTAAGTTTGTTCTCCCAATTCAATTAAATGGTTTATTCCTCCTAAAATTTTGTATGTGGGTTATTTGTAAGAAATCCATATAGGAATAGAAGGAATAGTTGAATAAACAAGGGTATCATCAGATTAGATTGTCAAAACATAATGCTAATTAACTTCAGGTAAATATCAATCAAACCTAACGAGTTAGTTTTCATCAATGTGCAGTTTGAAAATAGTAATAGTAGAAGATATATACAAAAAGTTCTAACAAAAGGCTTTGGCACAGCTACGAATCATATTAACATCTGCAAATAAAAACACTAATTTCTGTTTATCATCAAAAGACATAAAATCACTATTAAAATGTATGTCGTCATCAAATAATTCTTTTCTAAAATCGTCATATGACTGAAGGGCACGATATAATAACATGGGCTTCATGGACTATTATTCAATATTTAATAATATACATGTACTTATTCATATTGTAACAACTCTTAACATAAAATTAAACAAAAATGACAACTACAACGATAAATACCCCAGAATTACAATTGTTTTAATTAATACCGGTATAGTGTTTTTGGTATAGACCCAGTAATAGGCCAATTCAGTTTGGGGCGTAGCGATAGTGAGTCGACCCTAAATAGAAAAATTAAATGTCAAATTATAAAAAGAATTAACAATAACAATAATATAATGTCTGAAGTATTTATATTTCGAAGTTCTGTGGTATATTTTTGGTGTTCTGTGGTATTCTGTGGTGTTCTGTGGTAAAAAGACGCTCCCGCTTCGGAGCCCGGTACCCACATTGCTTGAGCCGGGATCTCTACCTCCAAAGCATGGAGACCGAACACGGGAGCCTTGGGCACACAACCTTGTTCGAATGAACCATGAGCCCCTTATTTGGAGCCTGGGACACAAGGAACCCTGATCCCTTAATTAATAATTTGGAGCCCACAGACCATGATGGGAACCCCCAATTCCAGCCTCAAGTCCAGATTATAATATTTTTTGCTGAAGGCTTTGGGTATTTTTTAACGCCCTTTTTTTATAGATTCCTACTTGAAGTTGAAAGCTTCGAAAGCAAAACACAGCATGAAATCCTTTCATAATTTAGATGTCATAATTATTTGGACTAATCCCTGACCTTACACCGTTATCTGAAAAATGCCTGCACCTTGGATAAATTATCTTAGAAATAGTATTTTTCACATGTACTCAAAGTCATCAATATGACCAATAGCAAATATATATACTTGTTGAATGAATTGACCAATTTAAAAGCATAGTCCAAATATTATAATATTATGATTTCTTGAAAAACAGATTTGTTGATTTTTTACTGTGAAGCCTTCTGAAGGCATCACAGCAAAAAAATAAAGAAGCCTTTCATGACAATATATAATTGGACTAATAAATATATTATGTAGTTTGTTGATCATGACTGCCCACCTTGACATGTTCTTTTAAGATATGGTTATCATCAGTATTTAAATTAAAATAACACTGCATGCATGCAGATCAGATATCTATATACATGTACCTCAGTCATTGCAAACATTGTCAAGGCAGTAAATTGTTTAGTACTGTAAATTCAGAAAGAATTGCGAGGTTTTTATGAATGTGAATAATGCGACTGAATGAGTATCACAATTATAAAAACTCACATTCGGGTATCAGCATAATTAGATATAAGAAGATGTGGTATGAGTGCCAATGAGACAACTCTCCATCCAAGTCAAAATTTATAAAAGTAAACCATTATAGGTCACAGTACAGTCTTCAACACGGAGCCTTGGCTCACACCGAACAGTAAGCTAAAAAGGGCCCCAAAAATGACTAGTGTAAAACCATTCAAACGGTATAAACCAACAGTCTAATCTATATCAAAAATGAGAAACGTAAAACACTTATGAACCACATCAACAAACGACAACTACTGAAAATCTGATTCCTAAATATCTGATATTGAGTTAGAAAAGTAGGGCCTTAAAATTCAGGATTTATGAACAGGAAAGATTAAGAGAAAGCTTAATTTTTTACTTTGACAAGTATTGGATATGCATGTACCAACCATTCATCTTTATATTATTTTTTTGGGGGGGAGGGGAGGTTCTATCTAGGTACAATCAATTTTTAGCTGGGTATATATACTGCACAATGTAAATTTCATTTTGGTTGAATCATGAAGCAGAGCTACTGTACATGTACCTGAGCCTGTTAAGTCTTGGCTTAAATACAAACAATGTAGGCTTGCTTTATTTGAGCTTGTTGAGGTACATGTAGTTGTAAATTAACACTAAATCAGTGGCAGATCCAGAAATTTTCATAAGTGGGGGCCCACTGACTGCCTAAGAGGGGGCCCAATCCAGTCATGCTTTAAGTGATTCCCTATATAATCAACCAAATTTTTCCCACAAAAGCCACCCCCCCTAAATCCTTCTCTGTAAATATTGCTTGTATTATTTTCTTAGTGTTATATAGTTCTTGGAACATCCCAAACACTATAGGCCCTAGAGACCAACAAATTACAGAATAAATATATACAAGTACATGATATACAGTAACATATAGTTGCTAACATCTACTTTGTTTGGTCTCGGGTATATAGTTGTCTCATTGGCAAATGATTTGTAATCAAACCACATACATGTTGTATTATTTTTAATGAGGCCTGGAACTATCCATAGATTTTGTATTGCCATATAATAAAACAAAAGTCAGACAAATTTTGACTTTACAATGCAACAGAAAATGTGTGTGTTAATTTTTTGTTAAATGGTTTAAAAAATGTACCGGTAGTACTTTTTTATAAATGTTATAGGTACTTGGGAGTTTTTCATAATCTAAGTAAAGGTTAAAGTTGTTCCCTAAAAACATACAAATTACATTGGACACATGAATTGCTAAAATCTGTGGGTGTTTTTTATGCCCTGCTCTAGGCAACAAGGGTATTTAGTGTTACCCTTGACTATCTGTCAAATTTTAGTTTCCGCAATTACTTTAGTATGTCTCATGAAAAATTTTATGAAACTCATACACAATTGCTAAGAACCACAAAATGCAGACAGACTTTCGGTTGTGATTTATTTACTGTTCTAGAGTTATGCCCCTTTTCATACCTGCAAACTGTCACTATTTGTGGGGGATTTCCCCCATGAAAGCTCTCAAATAGAAATTTTGTAAGAGCAATTTAGTGTTCAATTTTAAACAAAACAGTTAATTTTACAAATGCTATAGCATGTATAGGCTTTTTAAAGTATGGAGAAGTAAAAACAACAACATTAAAATACATTTGAAGGCCCCCTTGAAGGTTTTATCAGACTATTAGAGCCATCTTTCAGGCAAAACCCCCATGGGCATTTTGATAAGTTGGCAAGTATGCCTTTTTAACTTGCAAAATTGAAAAGGTTGAGCTGGGGCATTCATGTCCACTCTTTTATTGTTGAGTGATTTTTGTTCCAAAAAGATCTATCTAGACATGGTTCCTGTTACGAAATTTTCAATCACTTGACTTTTTATACGCTTGTCGAAGACGGGACATATTAACTGTACCAATGTCCATGATGTCCATCTGTCTGTCAACACTTTGTAAGATTACTTATGTTTGATGTAATTTGATCACAACAATATCAAGATTTTATTTTAAAACATTTTGACTGTGTCATTCCAGAGTTACAGGTCTTTAAGAGGGTAAGAATTGGGTACCCCAAATGGCGAATGACGATAAAATATTTGTGTAAATAACGTTAAAGATAAACATTTTACTCCATTTGATACCAAGTAGCTACAAAATGAGATATGAGATAAAAAATCAAGGCTCATTTGATGCTAACGGTAGCGAAAATTATAACCCCCTCCCCTGTAAGGTAAATGGTTGCTCCCTTAGGAAATTATTTATGGTTGCTGTGGTTTTAAATTAAATATATATTTTAACAAAGGTTGGTCATGTTGGTGTACATGGTGTAGGGTTTAATTCTTACAAATAGTATTAAAATACCAGAGTTCTCATAAAGTGGTTGTCCGCAGGTTTTGACTACCAATAATTTTCAAAGGATTGAATGCAAGTTTGGTATTTTGCAATAGAAATAAAGTGAGGACCAGCAGATTTTCCTTAAGGACCACCAGGGAAAAAAAGATATCTAGAACTTTTTTGTCCAGTTGTCAGTGACTAAAATTAAACCATGACAGCCATGAAATCAGATTCTGCCAATTCTTAATGAACAAGTTAGTATTTGAAAGGGATCAATTAGAAACAGAGGCGGATTTAGATGGTTTTTCAGGGGGCCCGGGCCCCCCTTTTTGGGGAAAAATTTGGTTGATTATATAGGGAATCACTGAAGCATGACTGGAGCGGGCCCCCTCTTAGGCAGTCAGTGGGCCCCCACTTATGAAAAATTCTGGATCCGCCACTGAGAAATGTTCAAAATACAGCCTGCAGTCCTTATACATGAACATGTACATCTGTAAAAAAAAAAGTTCAAAATTTCCACTATACATACATAGAACATCATAATTGACTTTGTGTTTAACTTACTTTATTTAATTTGTAATTTTGTAGCATGTAATTGACAGTAACCGAAAAGTAATGTAATCACTTTTGCTAAAGTAATCGATTGCAATCGATTACATACAAAAATCAGAGTAATCGATTATTAATCGATTACACAAAAATCCTTCAAGTAATCGATTATTAATACATTTGTCAGTAATCGTGCCCATCCCTGGTCGTTTATTGGTATGCCGTTGGTGTTGTCGTCCGAAGACACATTGGTTTTCGCACTCTAACTTTAGTTAAAGTGAAAGGATCTCTATGAAATTTTACCATAAGGTTCAATACCACAAAGGGAAGGTTGGGATTGATTTTGAGGGTTATGGTACCAACAGTTAAGGAATTAGGGGCCCAAAACAAACATTTTTCTAGTTTCAGGATAATAACTTATGTATAAGTATTTCGATTGCTCTGAAATTGTACGACAATGTTTAATACCACAAGTAGAAGGTTGGGATTTATTTTAGGGGTTATGGGGCCAACAGTTTAGGAATTAAGGGCCAAAAAGAGGCCAAAAACAAGCATTTTTCTAGTTTCCAGACAATAACTTGTGTGTAAGTGAATGGATCTCTCTGACATTGTACCACAAGGTTCCATATCACAAAGGGAAGGCCAGGATTGAGTTTGGGGTTCATTGCCCAAATATGGAGGAATTAGGGGCCAAAAACAAGCATTTTTCTAGATTCCAGACAATAACTTGTGTTTAAGTGTATGGATCATCTGAAATTGTACTACAAGGTTCAATACTACAAAGGAAAGGCTGGGATCGAGTTTTGGGGTTATTGCTCCAAGGTTGGTTTCAAAAAGTTGGGGGGGGGTCCAATTTTTTTAGAGGATTCATATTTTTTTTTCAAAATTTGAATTTTTGAAAAGTTTCAAGAAGAAATCTTCAATTGCACAGTATTGCGCAATAGATTTGTAAGATCTTTGACCACATTTATTTTGTGTCAGAAATCTATGTTATGTCAAAAATTTGATCACAATCCAAATTCAGACAGTATCAAGCTTGAATCAAATTTGTACCAACTGTTCAGGGTTCGACCTCTGCGGTCGTATCAGGCTGCGCTCAGCGAAGCATTTTATTGTAACTTCCAAACATAACTTGTGTGTTACTGTATGGATCTCTCTGACATTGTACCACAAGGTTGCATATCACAAAGGGAATGCTTGGATTGATTTTGGGGGTAATTGCCTCAAAATTTTAGGAATTAGGGGCAAAAAAAGGGGCCAAAAACAAGCATTTTTCTAGTTTCATTACAATAACTTGTGTGTAAGTGTATGGATCTTTCTGAAATTGTACTACAAGGTTCCATATCACAAATGAAAGCTGGGTTTGAGTTTGGGGGTAATTGCCCTACACGTTTAGGAATTTGGGGCCAAAAAGGGGCCTAAAAACAAGCATTTTTCTAGTTTCCAGACAATAACTTGTGTTCAAGTGTATGGATCTCTCTGAAATTGTACTGCAAGGTACCATACCACAAAGGGAAGGCTGGGATTGAGTTTGGGGGTGATGAATCATAAGGGGGTTCAAAAAATTTGGGGGAGGGATTTATTTTTTCCTTTTTTTCCTTTTTTTTTTTCTTTAAGATTTTCCATTTTAAATTGGTTATTTCTGATTTATATATAAAAGCAAATAATAATGACATGGTTTGAATATGTAAATTAAAAAATTTTAAGTTCTTAGACCACATTCATTCTGTGTCAGAAACCTATGCTGTGTCAAAAATATAATCACAATCCAAATTCAGTGCTGTATCAAGCTTGAATGTTGTGTCCATACTTGCCCCAACTGTTCAGGGTTCGACCTCTGCAGTCGTATCAAGCTGCACCCAGCGGAGCATTTAATTGTATATCATATTTGTTTTTATACGCCTGTTAACGGGACGTATTATTGTATACCACTGTCCGTCTGTCTGTCTGTCCGTCCGTCTGTCGTCAATATGTCTGCAATAACTCAAAAACACTTGAACCAATTCACATTAAACTTTGGTGAATTGTTTATATCTATTGACCTAAGCTCCCTTTCCTTTTTTAATGAATTTTAGATTTTAAGTTTCCATGTTTTGGGTTTTTTTTCCATTAAAAAAGGGTGGTTTTCCAGTTTTCGGACAATAACTCAAAGACACTTTCACCAATTTGCAAGAAACTTTTGTAAATTGTTTATATCTATTGACTTGAGCTCGCTTTTTATTTTTATAAATTTTAGATTTAACGTTTCTGAGTTATGGGGTTTTATTCATTAAAACAAGGGGGATATTTAGTTATCTGACAATAACTCAAAAATAATTTCAGCAGTTTTCTTGAAACTTTGGTGAATTGTTTATATCTGTTGACGTAAGCTCCCTTTTGTTTTTTTATATATTTAAGATTTTACGTTTCAGAGTTATGTGATTTTATTCATAAAAAAGGGGTGATTTTTTCATGAATTTCTGATATGACATTTAAGAAGTTATTGAAATTTATTCTTTGAAATAGCTACGGGCCTATCATGTGCACTCATGGCAAAGCTGTTTATTCATTTATTGTTAATGTTCATGTACATAAATCAGGCTGTACAGTGACCTATATGCATATATGGAGCATTACATTCATATAACAAATAGTTACATAAGAAAATCTATTAATATAAAGATAAGAAGATGTGGTATGACTGCAAATGAGACTACCATCCACCAGAGACCAAATGATGTAGATGTATGCATCTATATATAGGTTTCTGTGCTGTCTTCAACAATAAGCAAAACCAATAACACATTAAGCTTAAGAACATGTAGAAGGCCCCCCCTTTTTTTTCTCTAACCTTGAACAGTAGTGTATCATTACAACATAGGAACAAACTGTAAACAATGGTCAAAGATGGTGAAAAAGGCTTGACTAAATCGTCAGATCAACACGTAGTACAAAAAAAAAAGGCACAAATTACTTGCAAATTCTGAAAGCTAGTTCATATATAATTACAAGTTATGGAAAAGGCATGTTTGTGATACAAAAAAAATCATCAGCTCACATCAATAGATTTGGTTCAAATTTAGGAGTTTATAATTAAATATTATTGAACATTTTACTATACAAATACAGGTATACAGATAATCTAAAGAGAAAGCTATAGTAGGAATATTTAATCTTCTCAGGTATCTGGCTTCTGTTGCTTGGAAACAGTTATGTTTAAACAAACTGTATATATAAAAAAGAAGATGTGGTATGATTGCCAATGAGACAACTCTCCACAAGAGACCAAATGACACAGAAATTAACAACTATAGGTCACCGTACGGCCTTCAACAATGAGCAAAGCCCATACCGCAATGTCAGCTATAAAAGGCCCAAAAATGACAATGTAAAACAATTCAAACGAGAAAACTAATGGCCTAATTTATGTACAAAAAATGAACGAAAAACAAATATGTAACACATAAACAAACGACAACCACTGAATTACAGGCTCCTGACTTGGGACAGAGATATGCATATTTTCCTGAAAGAGCAATAATTAATCTTGTACTTTTTTTCTGTTTTCAATGGTCGCAATAATAAACGCATGCAATAATTTCTGAATTTACATGATTATATATCACATATATATATATATGTCATGTATGTTCTTGTATAAATACTAGTAGATATGCTTAAATCTGGTTTAGGATAATATTTTTTACAGTTATTTGCAATTATCTATAACATTTTTTTTATTTTAGGAAACAGTAATGAATGAATGAAGATTTGTATCCCTTTTCAATTCATCTGAAAACCTGATGATTGAGCGGTCTTGCAAAAAATGTACCTAAGGGGTCAGATGGGCTAATGCATTCATTTCCATAAACTGGACTCAGTAACTGTTCAAGGGTAAGTGGTTGTAAAAAAAGTTTGATATTATACTTATTTGTTATTTAGTAGAGACAATAAAAGAAGAAGACTTTAAAAATTTTTTGCCTTTTTCAGGGTCGAATTGAGAATTTTTCAGGTCGAATGACATACCCTGTTTCACCACTACAGTACAGTGCATGAGTGTTTTGTTTGACACCCTGCTCTTTTTAATATGTCTGTAAACTGACAGAAAATGAAAAATAATCTTAGTCAGTAAATCTTGTTAACTTTTAATTTTACCAAATTATAAAGAATAAGGCTCTGCATTAATTTCCACTAATTTCTTTTAAGAGTTATGGGACACTAAAATTTGACATAATAAGCAATATTTCATGTTTCGCACATTAACAATTTATGAAGAATGTTTTTCTTATTTACAATTTTGATTCTGCCGTTCTATAGTTCTGATACTTTCATCTTTAAAAATAAGTCTCTGTATGTTATTTTTTTTAATTTTTTTTTTTTTACTAGCTATAGCTAGGACAAATGAATATACAGGACTTGTCATTACTGCATTAGGAAAATTACTAGTTCTTGTGGAAAATTAAAGGAACATCAAAATCCTTATTATATACAAACTATTGATCTGCATATGTATTGTTAAAGAACAAACATCCTGCAAAGTAGTAAAGTTCTAATTTAAAAACTGCAAGTGTGTGCTTGAAAACCCATATACAGGTACCTAGCATGAATAATTTCTCCAAATTTAAACAAATGACAAAGTTCAAATTCCTGTGATTTGAGGAAAATATAAAGAAAGAAAATGAATCCTGATAAAATGCACATTAGTAATATATTTTCTGATGCCTTTTATAATGTAAAAAGATTTTCCTCATACTCTTCCTTGAATGGGGCATAGCATGAACAGTTTGAGGTTATATTTTGATGCTCTATTGACACATTATTTGTCTTTTACCTACTTTTATGTTAAAACTGCTGTACTTGCATTCTGTTTATTGCTTGTGGGATAATGTTCTGTTTTGGTTAATGTGATTAGTAATTTTTGTATTTTTTCTATTTCAGCTTTACACAATACCTGAGTGTACATTTCCAGTTACTAATTACAATGATTTATGTGTAACCTAAATTTCATATTGTTACACTTCTTCGTCACTCGACAGATAGAATTAGACACATCTCTGGAGAAGAAAAAAATCTTTGTAAAGTTCAAGACAGAATTAATGAAAAAGATCAAGAACTAATACAACTATATGCTTGTAGTACAGATGTAAACTTTTATGAAATGTTTCAAACTAAAGCTACACTTTAAAGCTTTCTGAAAATATATTAAACCAGGAGACATATTAGCTACAATTTAATTTTAAGATGACACTGGACATTCTTAGTTGTTTATTACTCAATGAATAGTTAGTTTATAGCATAAGGCCATAAGTTATTGTGACCCAATTAATCTGTTATAATGATATTTACTTCATTTTTAAAAAATTGCATTAATATTTGTTTATGATCAATGAATCAGAAAAACAGTGTTTGTTTGTTTTTTTTTATTTAGAAAATTTATTACCAAGAGTGGAGGTCTTTGAAATAGAAATCTATGGATTTTCTTTTCTATATGGAGTAAAATGGTATTACATGTATATGTTGTATAAAAAAGATAAATACTAGAAACAAAAAAAACATATCTCATATTATGATCTGCATTCCTTATAAAAATAAGAAAATATGGTATCATTGCCAATGAGACAACTCTCCACAAGAGACAAAAGGACACAGAAATTTAAAAACATCTGCAGTTCACTACGGCCTTCAACAATGTGCAAATCCCATACCAATTATTCATGCTTATAGTACATCCACTTTGTACTTTTTTATTGATATTGGTTGAGCATGAAAATAATAAGGTGATATGATTGCCACTGAAAGAATCTCTAAAAATCTATTTTAAGGACAATGATGTGATTGTTAAGTTGATCAAGGTACACAATTGCTAAGTATACATTGTAGATTTTATATATATATATATATATATATACATGGTCTCAAAATAAAATAAAACGATATTTGTACAAGACATAAACACGGGTATAATTTGAATTCTCGCCTGCCTCATTTCTATCCTGTTTGAGCTGAGTAACAAAACAGATTAATGTTTTGTCCTCCATATACTGCAAAGAATGAGATGTCTTATCATTGCCATTGACACAACTACCCACTAGAGTTTTAATGACGTAGATGTAAACAAATATACTTAGCCACTGTAAAAAATGAGAAAACCCATACTGTAAGTATCGTCTATAAAAGGCCCCAGTCTGGTAAATGTGATATAATTCCATGAGACTGACATTAACCAACGACAACCACTGCAATAGCGGTTTGTGACTTGGAACAGGCACATAAAGAATGTGGTGGGGTTAAACATATTTGTGAGTGCTCAAACTCTAACCTGGAAGAGTAGTGGAACACAGCATAGAACAATTTCATAAATTTCACTTGAATATTGACCACATGATTTCAGTGTGTTATATTAATTCTTGAGCAGTGTAAATTTTGCTGGATCAGTGGAGTAGAAAATATAATTAAAAAAACAACTGAACCAGTTGTGGGAGTGTTATATAGTACAGCAAACAATTTGCATATTCTGAGAGCCTAGCATAGTTGCGGTTTTCTTCCCTATATTCTCTTTTCCATTACCAATTTCTGCCACTTCAAACATTTACCAAAGTACATAATTTTTCACACTGACTTTGAGAGTGGTGTCTGCTGAAATTTTTGTTGTCTAAAAAATGCAGAATGATATATGAATGCAGGTCAACTGTTATCCGGGCAATTATATCCAGACAAATAAGAATTATGACTGGAATCAGGTAGGTGTTGCACAATTAAAAAACAGAGTTTTTACGAAACTTGGGACAATTCGACAGCCAATTTTTGATTTCTTTTTCTATTTCACGAATGAAGAATTTTTTTTTTACAGTTAACATTAAGATAGTCCCCCACCTTCATAGATTATTCTTTTTATTGGGCAGATTAGCTCTTTTCTTTATATGTATGAGATAATATCTAGCAAAATTTAAATTTTTATTTTTGATACCCAACTTTACTGATGAATGGACTTTAGTTTTTTCAGTTTACATTTTAATACATGGTGGGAAGGGGGGTGCTTCATGAAATGTTGTGATTCTTGGACATTTATAGCTTCTTCATGTTCAAGACATAGCATTTGTAGAGAACGTTTCAATATCTTAATTTTATATTTTGATAATAGTCATGAGAATCTCGGATGTGCTATAATATTTTGGAAGTCAACATTACACAGATGACCTACACACACACATACACACACACTGATGGCAGCAATCACAGGTGAGACTCAAAGGAGGGGATTCATGAGTCCTTTACACATTTTTTTCTCACAAATTTATCTTGTGTAAACGAACAATATAAAAAAAAAAATGCACATCTAAAAGCAAATCTGGGAAAATACTGTTGTTTTAAGGTCTTTTAACACATTATTTTTTTATTCTTACAAGGATAAAAGTTGCAAATATATATATTTAATAAATAAATGAACAATTATATCTCCAGTATTAGTAAATACAAATAAAACATTACTTGAAGTCCGTAGTTTAAAATACGCGGCATTAATACTTTTCCGGAGTTTTGTCCGCTATTGAGTACAGCCGATCACGTCATCAAAGCGTTTGTTGATAATGAACGTAAAATATATAAAACGGTACACGATTAAAAAATTAAAAAGTCCAGCATGTTACTGACGATGGATTTACTTGATTGGACATGATTTAAAACGACTGATATCTCTTTTAAAAGAAAACTGCTATCCAAACACTGGTATGCGTTCATATCATTGAAATATCATAGAATCAAATGGGGATTTCGTTAAAAAGTCACATTTTTCATCGGATTTACATTAATTTTTACCGTAAGACAGTATAGTTCAATCTTTGGATAGCACTTTTTAGAAAATATACATTCCAACGAATGTCTTGATACTTTGTTTCACATTCAAATATTCCTTTAACACGCTGGACTTTTGAGTTGAAAATGTAATGTACAACCTTCATTGGCAACTCGGGTCACGTGACTACTTTCACTTTCGATATGAAAAACCCATGCAAGATTAAATATAGGTCTTTATGTTTCATTCTACGATCTCTGTTTTCCTGATTTTTTTGCCATTTTCTTATGATATGAACTACCATATAACATGCAATTTTACGCATTTTTCTTGTAAAGTGCCTTAATATCACTGCGTAAGAATTATAACCCAAAACAAGAAATTTGTATCTACGATTCCCATTTTTATAGAAAAAGCTCTGTTTAATGAGATGGTGGAGTCGATCTTTCAATATTAAGCATGGGGTCCGAACTCCGAGGAAAACGGAAAGTCCCTTATTAGATGGCAAAATCAAAAGCTCAAACACATCAAACGAATAGATAACAACTGTCATATTCTCGACTTGGTACAGGCATTTACTTATGTAGAGAATGGTGGATAAAACCTGGTTTTGTAGCTAGCTAAACCTCTCTCTTGTATGACAATACCCCAAAGGTGACTGGGGAATAGAAGTATGGTCACCATTGGTCTTCCTCCGACCGGCGGTAAAACCCTCGTAACATGGGGCGTCCGTTTGGCTGTGCGGGATGTACAAATTTGCAGCCACGTCCGGTCAGAATGGGGACGTTAAATCCGATACCTCGTGTAAGGAGAGTGCCACGCTCTTTGCACGTTAAGAACTCTTGCAAGAACTCTTTGAGGGGTCCGTAGGTGACCTGTTGCAAGGCTAAATTTCTGTCCCTATCCAATATAACTCATTTCCCGTGGCAGTCTAAATTTCTCCGACCTCAATCTCAGACGCCTCTATTAAAGAACCTACCTATTGTATTCATTAATTTTTTCTCGTCCTGAATATGCATGAAATATTTGCCACTGCACGTTAAGCAACCAACAATCAATCAATCAATCTAAAAGATGTTGAAATAAACCTACAATTAAATTGTACTAGTGAGTTGACCTACAAAACAATAATAATACACAAATAGACAGTATGCCACACGAACTACTTTACACAGCGCTATATAATTGTTTTAAACAACTAACCATATGCTTTCCCGAGAAAAGCTTGTTTCAAATCTGGTATTTGCCTAAGAATGCCTTCGTCAATATCTTTATCGATCGTTAAGTAATTCTCTTCATGACCCCCAAGGGTGACTGGTGAATAGAAGTATGGTCACCATTGGTCTTCCTCCGACCGGCAGTAAAACCCTTGCTAAAGTGGGGCGTCCGTTTGGCTGTACGGGATGTACAAATTTGCAGCCACGTCCGGTCAGAATGGAGACGTTTAATCCGATGCCTCGTGTAAAGAGAGTACCACGCTCTTTGCACGTAAAGAACCCTTGCAACAACTCTTTGAGGGGTCCGTAGGTGACCTGTTGCAAGGCTAAATTTCTGTCCCTATCCAATATACCCTCATTTCCAGTGGCAGTCTAAGTTTCTCCGACCTTAATCCCGGAAGCCCCTATTACAGAACCTACCTATTGTATTTATATTAATTTTGTTCTCGTCCTGAATATGCATGAAATATTTGCCACTGGACGTTAAGCAACCAACAATCAATCAATCAATTCTCTTCATGTAACCAATCTCTGTTGCAAAAGTTCAAAAGGCAACATTTCTAAATACAATCTTCTAATCGAGTCTTCATTACAAACTTTCTGCCATTTCTAAATAAAAAAAAAATAAAGAAAACAATTAAACAATTCTTAAATGCAATAGAACATACTAGTCATCATTGAGATGGAACGGTGAACAATCTAATGCATTCAATATTGAACAAGGTGTCCGACAAGTCGGTACACTACAAACTGTATGTAAATGATCTACTTAACGAAATATGTAACACTGGTTTTGGAGGACATATTGGAACAATCAACTGCAGTGCGCTTACTTATGCTGGTGATCTTACCATTACTAGTAATTTTCAGTTTGAAGCACAAATATTAGTCAACAAAGCAAACGACTACAGTAAAAGAGAGTCATATATATAATACAACCTACTGAAAGTGTTGTACTGCCTAATAGCAATATCCATAATGATGTGACACTTCTTATAGATGAAAGGAAAATGTCTACTGTTGATAGTGATCAACCTGTAACACACAACTACTAACAGCGGAGGAAAATATTGAGAAAACAAGAAGAGCTTTGTACAGTTTAATGGCAAATGGATTTCATGGAGACAATGGACTAGACCCATCTACATCTAATTCCACCTTCGGAACCTATAAAAGTATTAGTCTTTCTACAAGAAAATGATTAAAAAATCTTATCTTCACCAATTTCAACTGCTGACCCAGCTATATACTTATCTGGATTTCTACCCATAAATGCTGAAATCAATATAAAAATTATAACATTACTTGGAAATATATTATGTTCTGACAAATCAGCCGTTGAATGGAAAAAAGCCAATCGTCAATTAAAAATTAAATCAACAGGTACATTTGTTTC